TAATTGCATACACCACATCACTCTGTTTATGTCTGGGTGTTTTGTCCTTCAGGTGGACCAGTCTCTGCCACAGGGTGTTCCCTGGTTTAAAGTTAACTGGGATATTGTGGTTGTAAAAGATCCTTTTTAACTTCTCTGATAAACCAGCCACATAAGGGATGACAGTGTTATCCCCTCTTGTTTCTGGTTTCTCCCTGTTGGTGTTGGGCCTCTTCCTTGCTTTGGTGAAGGCCCACTTAGGGTACCCACAAGCCTTAAGGGAGTTCTGGATGTGTAGTTTCTCCTTCTTGGTCCCTTCTGTAGTTGTGGGCACTTCCTCTGCCCTGTGATTTAGAGTTTTTCTAAAACGTCTTCTACCTAAAACCAAGTCCAGTTGATTTTTTCAGCTTACTATGACCTGGATGACTGAGAATCTGCACGGACATGTAACGGGTGCCAATTTAAAGAGAACAGGTGGTCACACCAAATATGGATTTGATTCGGGTTTTTACTGTTGAATGCATTTCATATGAATTTAATTAGTAACAAACATTAGAACCATCTTCACTTTACTTCTAATACCTAAACTTTTAAAGTTTGACACTGTTTTAATAGCATGTCTTTTTCACTTTTAACACAGACCAGCAGTTTTCCCCATGTGCCTGGGTTTGTGCTCACTGAGCTGAGCTAAACACATCCCAGACATAACACTGCACATTGCATCATCTTCTCTTCTAACCATGGGTCATGCAGGGAAACTAGAATCGTTACTTTAAGTGTCAGCTTGAGCTTGAGGGATTCGTTGCCACACCACTACTGCTTGGTGTAAATGTGCGTGTATGTAACTGAATGGGTGGACACTAACCTTGCGATCCTCTTTAAAGAGCTCTGCTGCTGTGGTGAAGTGAGGGACAGCGTTTTTACAGTGTGGACACCCTGAGAGAGAACACACACAAACAAGGGCAGGACATTACTACAGTTAATCATCACACATTTACACAACTGCATCTGGCTTCATGGCAATAATGTCAAAAACATGGTGCCACTAACACACATTCAAATACAAACAGAATAACTTCAATACATTATATACTCAATCTCCAACATGCTCACAAAGCAGAGGGCCCTGCCACAATTCTGTAGAGGCCTAAAGGTTTATTCCACATTAGTGATGGTTCACTTGTGTGCCAACCTCAGCTCCACAACACACAGGACCCACAACTAAACATCACATTTGCAGACAGCTGGTTCACTTCTAGTAGTTAGAGATCATCCAACTATACATGAGAAGTGACCACCCTATTAATCTGTGAGGGAAGGATCTTCGGATTCTAGCCACATCTCGCTGAGCAGGAAAAGATGTGTTTTTGCACAGCACTTGCAATCAAGCAGTGTGATTACTGTGCTTGTGCTGACATATTTTTCCTTTGAGTCTCTGCTGAAAATTCACTTTCTGTAGGTGCTGCTCATTTCTTTTGTTTTGTTTTTTTTTGTCGCCAATGTCAAGTACCCAGTTCCTTCTGTTCATTACAACCAAACGGTTGTTACCACTGCTGGAAAGGTGAAAAAGCCAAGGACACAAGTTGTGCTGAGAGATTTTCAACAAGAAAAAATATGTAATAATAATAATAATAATGATAATGATAATGATGGTGATGTTGTCAGTGGGTGACTGGATAAAAGCATTCATGTTCAGAGTTAAGGTTGAAGACCCAGTCATCGGCGTTTACCCATACTAAAGATGTTGTGGGTTAAATGTTGGTACAGTGCTGAGTGTTAGGCTAATCGGTACTGACAGTTCAGATGGAAATGTGTTGATGTAGGATGCCACAACCTCTGGCTGAACTCTCTGAAGATGTTAACTGCTAAATTCAGCCTGACTTCTAAGTCATCTAACCCCTCTAAAATATAATATATGGCAAAACATATGTGGACACCCAAACATTACACCCATATGTGATTATTCCACAACTGTGGGCATCACTCTGGTGCTACAACAGCCTCTACTTCTCTGGTTTCAGGCTTTTCACCAGACTTTGGAGCCTGGCTGCAGGGATTTGCTCCCACTAAGCCACAAGAGCATTAGTAAGGAGCAACACTAATTTTGGGTGAAAAGGCCTGGACCTCACAGAGATGTCTGATGGAGTCGAGTCTTTGTGTGTCTGGGCATTGTTGTGCTGAAAACTACTGCCACAGAGTTGGAGAAACATGATGAAGACAACAGACCGACCATGTACGGTAGGTCAGAGTGCAGCTGGTGACACACTATGCTAGGTACTGTACAGAAACATTTCAGCTTTTACATCTCACCTACTGTACCTCCTGTCATCCAAGCTGCTGAAATGCTGCTAAAAGCTGAGTCTTGCTGTTGCTAATGAGACCTTCTACTCTCATTTCTCTCCTCTAACTGCACATTTTCACTCATCTTTCTCACAAACTCCAACAGACCATAAGGGAGAGAGAGCAGCAGACAAAGACTGTAGTGGCCTTGATTCTTCTGTCTCCCCATTGCTCGTTGAAAACAATGATAGAAATCCAGCTGTGAGCAAAGCAATATATAAGTAGTTTAACAGAAACTGCGTTAACATGTTGTTTGGAAATTAAAAACACACAGCTATTGATATAGACGCAGATTTATACATAAGCTGCAAAAGGGTAATGAGTAACTTAGACAAAGATTCAAATGAATATAGTACGCATACAAAGCAACTATCAACTTAATGCTGCCTGAGGTCATAAAAGGCTTGGCAAGAGAAGGAATGTAGTTTAGTTTCATTTATACAGATTTGAGGCTAAAAGTTAATAGCCCAGATCTCTGTAAAATAAATTCAACTGTTCTGTCTGAAGCACCTCAAGTCTCGGTGTCTCACAAAGCAGCTGCATCTCATCAACTGCGCTATTAGACACAAGCTCCCTCATGTAAGAGACACCGGTGAGCAAGGTGCAGATGGGGAGGGAGGGCCGAAGGTTGTTACGACCTGAAGTGCATCTGGAGCGCCTCTTTGTAGAAGGAAGCACCGAAGGACCTGACAGAGGCAGCAGCCTGAACATTGTCCCCAACTGGCTTTAAACCCTCATCAGACACAAAGGACAAGAAAGCAAGGGCTGAGGCGCACGTGTCTACGTGGGAATTAGTAACTAGGTCAGTTAGCTGCTCTGTATTTCTTCTGCATCTGTGTTTTGTTTGAGAACTCAGATAAAAAGTGCCCCTACATTATTAAGATCAATGACAGAGACTCTCACCTTTCTCTCTGTGACAATCTCACTGAGTTAGCTGGTACATAAGATGAGAACAGGCTTCTTCTGTAGGTTTGGTAGGTTGTAAACTGTTCTAAAATTAATAACATCTGCTCCCCAGATGCCAGTCTGTCAGGTCAGTCAACTGTTTCTTTGTGGTGGCCTTTAAAGCAGCTTTAATTGAGGTTTTGACTACTTAGAGGCAGAATAACATCTGATTTGAGGCTCTAAGGACCGAGGCTGTCGTGCTTTACAGACTGTACAGCCTCTTGAGGCAAATTTGTGATATGTGATATTGTTCAGGCCAAATAAATATTTACTTGACGTTAAGCTAAAAGCAACAGATCTGCCATACTATGGTAAATGGTCTGATACTTGTACAGCACTTTTCTATGCATTGCAGCACACTCAAAGTGCTCTCACACTATTTGGACGTTCACCCATTTGCACTCCCAAACACTCACACACCGATGCCATCACCGGGAGCAGCGGGGGGGTTCAGTGTCTTGCTCACAGACACTTCGATATGTGGACTGGACAAGCCGGGAATTGAACTGCTAATCTTCCGGTTAGGAGACGACCTGCTCCACACTTTGTTTCTAAAACATTTAATAAAACAGGAACTTTTTCCACTTTCCAGTTCTGCTATTTCTCAAGCCTTAACCATTAATATTATGTTTTCCAGAGACCCTGAAATGAGGTTCATGAAATGTGGTGATTTGTTCTCTTTTTTAACTTGCAAAAAATCTATTCTCAGTGATCTGAATCTTTCTTTGGTCTCCCTGTTGATTAGGTGGGGTTTACTGTATATACTGTACTGTGTGATGAGGAGCTTGGCAGAAAGCTTTGACTCACATACGTGCACTGGTTTAAACCCAGGATATGATCGCACCGAGGCCAAAAGAGCAGGGCTGCGATCAAAAAAATAACACATGGGTAATATTTTCATCAAAACAGCCAAGCATATTCAATTCAACAGAGATGAGTCATTGAGGAATTATTCCAGACATTTGTGTAGCAGATTAATACCAAACTATTCCGTTATCAGGTGTTACATTGAATTGATGTAGTTAAGCTCTTACAGGGAGCGTAGAACATGACCAGAGCATGTTTTTTCTTCTTCAGCGACTCTCGGAAATCCTCTGACCCAAGATGGCTGACACTCGTGGGCCTGTCCTCCCAAGACTGCTCTGGTGGAGGAGGTGCCTGGGGACTGGAGACATGAAAGAGGGCAAAGCAGCATTTATCTATTATTTTACTGTACTGTAAGCAGAGATATAAAGTTGGATTAGACAGCATTTACCTGCCAGTTCCTGAAAAAGCAAAATGCTAATGTGAATACTAATAATAATAATAAAGATTAATATATTACACAGGGAGGATGTTTAGAAAAAGAAATACTGCTTCTAATCAAGGGGGTGCAGCTAAGGCATTTAAATCCAGGACCAAATTACTGCAATGCACATGTGTTTGAGTCTGTGTCTGTGTTAATTTTACATAGAGTGCTGGACAGAAGTAAAGCAGTGACTGAGGTCCTTGTTAACTGGGACTCACTTGTGCATGAACTCGATGATCTTTTCTTTGCTTCGGAGCTGTGGCAGCGTGTACTTCTCCTCACCTTTCTCAAAATACTTAACAGTTGGGAAGCCAGAGATCTTGAAGCGATCCCCCACAGCCTTGTGCACGGTGGCGTCTACCGCTGCCAACGCACCCGGACTCTGTGACGACGTAACAATAGCAAACCGTCAGTCATGAGGGATGCTGGTACAATAAAAACGACAGCGTGGTCTGCCCAAGTAGACCAGTGAAGTTTCCTTTGATTGACCTGTTATACAACACCAGTTAACACCAACTAATTATTACAAGTTCAACCTTTGCAAGTGAGCACACAGAGCTTTTGTGTATATAAAGGTGCTGCATTAAAAAGCACTAGCAGAAAAACAAGCAAGAAAAATAAATGGCATGCTGGTTCATAAGAGCTCAGGGTAAGACAGGCGCCAGTCCGTCCATATTAGATAATGGCCAAGCATCTCCCATTGACCTACAGTGCTGGGCAGACAGCCACAAGAACAAGGTCCAAGTGTTGGGCCGGGGGGACACTCACAGATGAGATAATTGCTGCAGTCACTAGGCTGGAGTTTAACTGGCCCTACCCGTGGCTGGGGAGAGTTGGATAACCACAGAGGGCAGAACGGTGCAGAGGAGAGGTGAGGAACACACCCGACTAATTAAAAGCACATCAAGAGTTGCATCAACCAACATCCCTCAGGCCACGACAAGGGATTACTATGCTCTGCTAATGAGGCCCCGCTACTCATGTAGTTCTCTGTGCTCATCAGAGTGTGACGTATGAAAGATAAGCACAACACACAGGCCTGCAGACATGCATGCTGCACACATGTAAACAAAAGCAACGGTCTTGAAACTTACGTCTGCGCCCTTGTTGAGTATTTCAGCAGCTTCCTCATACTCTGGCTTCATTTTCTTGCAGTGACCACACCCTATAGGGTTCAAATCACACATTAGAACATGTCCTGAGGAATTTCTGGAGCAGACATCAATATTTTAAAAGTCCAAAAACAGTTTATCTTCCAATTTTTCAGCTCTTATTAAAACTCAAAAGATAATACTTAAAAATTGGTTATTTAAATGTTGGGACAAACACATGGAATGAAGCAGGATAACTCACTTTGAAACTGAGTAGAATAAATATAACAAAATATAACAACATTTTTATACGTCATTTTAAACAGTGGCCATTTGGCAATAAACTGGGATAAGCACATATCAACAAATAGTGCTATCTAAAACAGCATCATCAGTGAGAGTAAACCAGACAGATGAAGGATTCATCACTCAGTCTTGCAGAAAACATAAATAACTACTACATATTGTTGAAGAAACGGTTTCCATAAAACCACACAGATGTCTTGTCGAATCTGTCAACAGATGTTCTCTGGTGCCTTGCTGCTTCACCCTTGTCTATCAGTGGGTTTACTGCTGGCGTGCTGAGGGTGGAACCGTAAACGAGACGATGAGAGTCTCTTAAGACATTTGTCATGAGACTTAAGACATGTCTAATTACTTGCTGCATGTTTCACTCTCAGGCATGGGTGTGTGTTTATTTCTGAGTGAGCCTGCTGGAGCACAAGAAGGGGAAACTAACTGGTGAAGTTGAGGGGAAAACTGTAGGAAATTGTTTTAAAATCTAAATTATGAGCTACAAAAACCAATCCAACACAATCTGTACAGCAAAAAGTGGCTACACACAAAAATAATGTGGCTTCTGAAGCAGAAGCACCTGGTTCAGTACAAAGAGAGTGAAAGCTCATACAGGTCTAAACAAACAAAAATAGAAAGTACACAGACAAAGCCTAACAACGGGATCATGACTCTGCTGATAATAATAATATGAATCAACTCCCAGCTCTTGATGGGGTGGTGGCTTTTTCAAGTGGTGGCTAATTCCATTATGTCTCCAAACTCCACCATCAGCTCTACCTTTCTGTTCTGTAGTTACTGTAAGAAACAGGAGCGCGTTAGGGGGGTTCCTGATCCATATCTGAGCTGTATCACGGAGACAGCGGTGTAACTGTGAGCTTGTGCATGTGTTTGCAACAAATCAGTTTGAGCTCCAGACATGAACAATCTCCATACTTGGAGTGGAAGTGAGCAAAGCAGCAGACACTTTATTTACTTTAAAACAATGCTAGTCTCACAAAATGTTTTGCCTTAAGATGATGATAACGATCAGGGCTGAGCAGTGTGTGTGTGTGTGTGTGTGTGCACAACACTGATTCTGGTGCACAGATGCATGAAACAAAACTGATGAATTTCCAAACCTGGTAAATTGCCTTTGTCATAACAGTTTAGGAACACTTTCATCAATAAACAAAGCTATGCTGCTGCAGGCTATAAATCAAAAGTGATATGACTTGTGAAGAAAAAGCTGCTTCTCTTTCAACTGAGTCACTGTAGTGTGTGATCATGCAAACTGTGAAGCTTTATTTTTATTGTAGCACTGTGACACGTACAACGAAGTTTTGTTTGGAGCCGAGGGCCCCGGGCTGCTGTGTGCATACGCGCCACCATTACAGGCAACTTGGGGGGGGGACTGCAGGCACCGAGATTCGAACCTTCAACCTTTCGGTTGATAGACGACTGCTCTGCCCACTTCACCACTGTTGCCCCCCGTGTTGAGGTTTACCAGAGAAACAGTGACTAAAAGGACTTTGTCTGATCCTTCAAAGAAAATGAAATGTCAGCATCATTCTTGCTCTCCATTCAGAAGAAGTGGTGCATGAGGGGCATGGTCATGGTGTGTGTGTGTGTGTGGGGGGGGGCTCAGAAACACACTGAAAGATTGCTGATTCAGACTAAGCACGAGGCAGAAGAGCTCAGGGTCAAGAGAATGAACAAACTAGCCACTCACTGCTGCTGCTGGAACAAAAATAGATGCATGCTACAAAGGAAAATGCCTGGTGAGTCAGGGTGTTGTAAGGTCATCTTCTCTGGTCCACTGCAGCAATAAGCTGAGCCTGTGGCTACTTGCTAAGTGGCCAGTCAGGGGAGACTTTAAAATCAGACCTAATAATCCTGATGGATCAGGATTCAGCCCAAACACAAACATTCAGGGATCAAACAACGTCATTTATAGCCATATCTGAACAACAGTATTTTGCTGTGCTTTGTTCCAACACCACCTGCAGAGAGGAACTATAGTTTTGGCCCATGACATAATAAGGCTCACTCTGGGAAACGGAGCTTTCAGGTGGAGGTTTTGCCACCATGAGGAGCTGCACACAAACGAGCCCCACTGAGTGCTGTTCAGAGGACTGTGAGAACGGCCGCGCTGAGAGGTGGACAGAAATGCAAGCTGATGTTAGCAGTTGGGACAGCATTAATCTCACTCTGACAGCAGGGCCATTAAGGAACTGATCTGAAGCACCGTGGCTATGCATCTGTGTCTGTGTGGGAGAGAGTGTGAGACAGAGAGAGAGACATACAGTGTAATTGTGTGCAATAAATGCCTGTGTCATGGTGTGAAATATGGGCTTAGTATCTGCAGTATGGCCGGTTTTATTCCACCGGAGCTACAACTAATTGTCCACTCCTGCAGCAACCACCATCACCCCCAGGAAGGCCCCGAAGCACCGACCTCAAGTGAGCAGGCTGACCCCAGGACAGCGACCCTGAGACAGAGACACAAGCACGACAAGAGGGGAGGGCTCCATGCTAGGCTAAAAGTTCTCGCTAGCTGACCACCACTACCCAGCCTCCTGCTAGCTAACGAGCGGTGTCTGGAAGACAAACTGGACGAGCTAAGAGCCAGGATCACCACACAGCGGGCAATAAGAGATTGCCGTGCTCTAATTTTCACCGAGACCTGGCTTTCAGACAATGTCCCAGAATCCGCCGTTCAGCTACAGACTCACTCTGTAGACTGAGGAGTCTGTACTGCCGCCGCAGGTAGATGAGGAGTTTTTATTGCTGAAATGCTGGCCCTATTATCTACCATGAGAATTTAGCAGTGTGTTTTTGGCTGGAATATACATAGCCCCTGTGATGATCAGTGCAGTTACACATAGTAACCACCAGGGAGGCGCTAAGTACCGGCTACTTATGTGGGTATACATTAGTAAAGAGGAAGTCAGTGAGCCGGGGTTAGTGAGAACATGGCAATGGAGTTCTGATTAAAAAGTTCAAAACAAGCCTCATGATTGTCAAAAACAAACACAACAGCCCCAAGAGCTAATTCCACGGCGGCTCTCAGCAAACTCCACGATGTCAACAGCGCGTTAAGAGACGGCTCATCCCAAAGCTGTTTTTATCGCTGCAGGTGACTTTAACCAGTGCAATCTACAGACTGTACTCCCCGAATATTACCAACATGTGGACATTCCCATTCACAGCGCGTAACCTTTTCCACATTTTGTTATGTTACAGCCTTATTCCAAAATGGATTCAATTCATTATTGTTCTATTCTACAAACAATAATGACAACGTGAAAAACGTTTGTTTGAAATCTTTGCAAATGTATTAAAAATAAAAAAACTAAAACGTCGAGTGGCAGCACTACTGCTATGGACCACAAGCGCCTGTAGAGAGTGGTAAGACACCAGGACTTCACTGCCCTCTCTGCAGAGTCTGCAGGAAAGCCTCCTCCATCCTCAAGGACACCCCCAGGACGGACTGCTCACACCTCTACCCTCCGGTTGGAGGTACAGGTGTGTGAAATGTAGGACCTCTAGACTGAAAGACTCTTTCTTTCCCTCTGCCATCAGACTCTAAACAGCTGACAGGAGTATACAATCAGGATTTACTTCATGTAATCCCACCTGTACTGTTTACATTCCAAGTTTGCACATGCATAATTGCACACTCACTGCTGCCTATTGCACATACAGCTCTGATGTATCATACATTCTCTCTTTATTATATTCTTTGTTTTTTTTTTATTATATTTGTTTCTACTTGCTGTTTTTAAGTGCCTTTAGATTTTGTGTTACTTATTCATCTACTTTATATTTCATTTGTATTTTGTGGCATTCATTGTGAACAGCACATGCATACTGTGCACATGATGATAAACACTTTGATTTGATTGATTTAGTGTGATGGTCTGCAGATACATATGCTGAAAAGATCCGATGCTTGTTTCAGCTGACGGCTCTCGACTTGAGTGTGTGGATGAGTGGCTCCT